GGTTCTACAAAAGGTGTGGGGTTGAGGGTGTTTGTTATGGACCCCGTGATCAGGGAAGCAAAATGGGAGTAATAGGTTAACCATAAGCCGATATGCAGATTGTATGGATGTCTTCGATTCCCCCTTAATTCGCATTAGTGCGACTGCGGGAGAAGAGGTTTAGGCTTTCGGGACCCTTAAGTGTTTGCGGACAAAGGGACGAGGTTTCATGACGGTTGGTCTTGAGAGCACAAGGGGGGCGTGGTAGCGGGATTTTATAAGGGATTTTGTGGTTTACGGTTTAGGATAGCTTTGACAACAGTATCAATTGGGTACGGCCCCCAATCAGTAATAGTTGAATAATATTCATAATATAGATATAGTAGGACCTTTAATAGTAGCCCTATTATAGACTCTTACTGTATGGGGGCCCGCACCTAAAGTATCAATGGTAAGTACTATTGGTTCTTTCCGTTCTTGTCGCAGCAGAAGATATCTTGGAACAACGGAATGGAACCAAGAGAAGGACAGCAGTCCAAAGACAACCATGCAATACCGACCCTAAGCCCTAGACAGTTCCCAGAGATCCCAATAGCCCTTAATTAAGGAATATACCTTAAATCATAATATTAAAGCCTCTATAATTTAAGGTATATTCCTCAATTAAGGGGTATTGGGATCTCTGGGTCTCCCTAAACCACTTGAACCCTTGAGTTCCGTAGTCTTTGGGCGCTGTACAAACCTGTCTAAAGCGTGAACAAGAAGACTTGAAGCCCTGAGGCTCCAAGTGCTTAGTTATCATATGGGTGGTTGTCAAAATTAGGTTTTTTGGGGGTACCTTACATATTAGGTGCCGTATTAAGAACCCAAAGAGGGACCCTAATATTGACAACCACTCATATACTCTCCAGAATAGGAACCAACATAGCTACTATCCCTTGCGCCCTTAGGACCCTTCACGAACCCTAAACCCCTGAACACTAAACCCCTAAACGCCAAACCCTAAACCCCTTAGCCCTAAACCCCTAAACCCTAGTTTGCACTTAAAAGAATCCCTTAACCCCCTAAACCCGAAACCCGAAGAGATCAGGACTTTGCAGGAGGCCCCCCGAGTGTGAGTAGCTGCGCTGCAGATTGGGAGGAGGGCCGCGCATCTTGGCCAAAGGGGCTTAGGGTGTCTAGGGTCAGGGGTTAGGTTTTAGGGGTTACCTTAAGCCGGAATAACCTACCAATTTAGGGTTCCTTACTATGATTTCCTGATATAAGTCCTTAAAAAGGTAGGTTCTTCCGGCTTAAGGTAGGGTTTAGAGGGTTTTGTCTTGGGCCGCGCATCACAGGTCTTTGGGGGCTGGTCTGGCGACCAAAAAACCATAAGTAAAGACTACTTGGACCCTCAGGGTTAGGGTTTGCAGCCCGAACCCCTATGGGGTTTGGTGCTTACGGTTGATTCAGAACTAAGGTTTCCACTGAAACAGTAACAAAGGTAGGCAGAAGCGGCTGAGTAGAAGTCATGTTGTGAGTTTTGGTGGGGGGCTCATATTGGTTTGATGAGCTTGTCAAGGTTAGGGCTTGAAGACCCTAAACCCTCAACCCTAAAAGCTCTCAAAGCCCTAATCCCTAAACCCTAAAAGCCCTAAGCTCAAAAACCCTCAAAGCCCTAAACCCTAAAAGCCCTAAGCTTTGAGGTTCCGCGCGCCCCAAGGAAGGGTGGGCAGGAAAGTCGCCGGCTTCAAGGTGTTCGTTCGAGATGTGTTTGGGCCTTGTGGAGTTTTATGTTCTACCTTAGCCTACCAAAACCTAGTTGTTTGTAGGGCCCCTATAAATTCCATATTAGGGTTTATGGTAAGAACCTACAAAAAAGTATGGTTTGGTAGCATTTCCTAATCACAAAAGCCTCGACACTTTTTTTGCAGGCGGAAAAATGCCAAAAAAAGCCTAGACCCTAAGCCCTACTGTAAGCCTTATATAAGGCCTACACCCTACAGCCTAGAGTCTAAGCCCTACTGTTAGCCCTAAACCTAGCCTAGACCCGAAGCCCTACTGCAGGCCCTAAACCGTGAAGCCTCGACTCTAAGCCGTACTGTTAGCCCTAAACCTAAAGCCCAGACCTTAAGTCCTACTGTAAGCCCTAAAGCCTATAACTTAAAGCCTAGACCCTACCTTAAGCCGGAATAGCCTACCTTCTAAAGATTTATATAAGGAAATCATATTTATTATAAGGAGCCCTTAAAAAGTAGATTATTCCGGCTTAAGGTAGTGAACACCACGAATTTCGACTCTTGCGAAGCCTCGGATTCCAGCCCATTCAGTAACACATTGCCAGGGCCCTAAACGCTGCTACGCCCCAAACCCCGCACCCTAAAGCTTAAACCCTATATCCCCTAACCCCTAAACCCCCTTAAACCCTAAACCCATTAGGTCTATTTCTTGGTAGCTGAGTGAATACACTTTACACTTTTGGGGATAACATTACCCATCATTGTCATAAACTAAAAGTGTACACTTTTGGGGGCCTATGAACTCAGCAACTAAGATTCATGTTGGGCTTCACCCTAAACCTTAAAACCCTAAACCCTGAACCCCAACTGAGGCGCTGACAGGATCCCGCTCCTTGGCCGGAGACTGGGGCGGGTACTGTAGGGACATTAAGTACCTATAGGGTTCCTTTAAAGGGTTCCTTCAAAGGAATACTATAACGGCTGTATAGTAGGGTTCTATGGTATAGGGGCCTAACTGAATAATTACCTATACGTTCGTAGGAGGCTCCTTATTATAAATATAGCATAGTATACCTCAGAACCGTATCAAAATTATTAGGGCCCCCATATTATAGTATGCCGAGGGGTTCCGGGTTTAGGGTCCAGAGCTCCGCAAGGGTTTCTGGGTGTCTGGGTGTAGGGGATTTAGGGTTTGCGGCCCGGCTTCAAGGGTTTCGGGAGTTTAATTATAGGGTTTAGGGTTTATTAGGGTTTAGGGTTCAGGGTTTAGGGGCGGATAGGCTTATCCGAAAAAGCTGCGGAGTCGAGATTATGCCATGTGTGGAATGCACGGACACTGACTGTAGAGGAGCTCACGGTCTGTAGCCAAACTCTTCGACTTGCCATGCCCTGTTGCGCCCCACCGGCTTTACTAGGTATCGATTTGGGATGGTTAAGTTGCCCTTACTCTGTCATATAGAGCCCTAAGTATGAATGAGGTTGAGGACTGTTGAAATTCGACACCCAGCTTAGTTCTTGCAAGGCAGATGCTTTGGTTCCTCAGTCGTACCCTCTTGCGCTTGTTACTATGGAGTCTCATAATTAAATTCTACAGGTCCCCTAAGCCCTGAACCCTGAACCCACACCCTAATCTTGTAATCCTAAACCCTAAACCCCTAAAGCCTAAACCCCTGTAAAGATCGAACTTTAGGAGGCCTTGGACCGGGGCTCCGAATTTCTGCCCTGAAACTGCTAGGGTCTGGGGAAATTCCCTCAGCCTCGGACTGCCAAACTCCGAATTTAGGGTTTAGGGTCTGGAGGCTTACAGTAGAAGCCATAAAGTTGGAACATCGTTATCCTCATTCCCTTAAGGCAACGCAGGGGGAAACCTAGCACTAATCATCCTAAATCCATGTTCCAACTTTCTGGGGTTCACTATAGGGTTCAAAACTCCGAAATCCCGAAGCACAAGGCCCTGAAACCATCAGGCCTGAAACCCGAAAGCCCTAAACTTCTACTGTAGGGGACGGCCACGTCACGCTGTGGGACCTTGGCCTACGGCAGGCATGGGCTAGGTTTGTTTAGGGTTTTTTGCAGTCAATCTTCAGGGTGTTGCATGTTGCGGCTTCAGGGTGCGTTTACACAGATACCCGTTTCATCTTCCAGCACGAAAAGGAGTAGCGATGGCAGGTGGCAACGAAGTTCGATCATGCATGCAATCACTGCAATGGCGACATCATGAGATTGGTCAGGCGGCTAGCAAGAGTAACACGCAGTCCTAAACCCGAATTAGCCTAGGATGCCCAGTAGTACCCTTATTCCCTTTTTGTAGTCCCAGGTTCCTTAGAAAGTTACCCAATACCAAAAAGAGAAGCCTTTTTATTCTTAGGTTACTGGGTATCCTAGAAGCCGTATAGAACCCTTTTGTAAGCTTACACAAGCGCTGCTTTACACCCGACGACACCTGATGGAAACAAGTCTTATGACTCTTATGAAACCCTTATCTGAAGAGGACACGAAAGGACTGCAATCTTGTACCTACATGGTAGAATGTAGGGTTTCTATATTAGAAATTACTATCATGAATAGGGGAAGTATCCCCCCCATGACGGTACCTAGGACCCTTTGGGAGTAAGCCGTGCCTCTCCCCGGCCAGGTGCTCTGGTCGTGCCCTGCTCACGAGGGCCTAGTCGAAGCAGCAGAGCTCTGAGTTTGGTCCTTCAGGTAGAGATTTGGATTTGGGGTTCCAGTTTCCGGTTTGGGGTTCAGGGTTTAGAGTTTGGTGAGTGAGTGAGAGTGAAAGAGAGGGACAGAGAGGGAGAGACAGAGTGAGGTAGCGAGAGACATCAAAACCAATTTCACGCGAACGAAAAAAACAACCTCTAGCACGATAAAGTCCCGAATCCTACACAAAACGGACAAGCCTCAATCTTTCGAGGCTTGAAGCTTAAATCCTACACTCCGAAACCCGAAGCCCTTCAACCTATGATTTCTATAACCCAATCTACCCAAGCTCTAAACCTTAAAGGCAAATCTAAATCCCAACCCATGAAAGGTTCACCTCTGGAATGCCAAGGTCTCGCTGGAACCGCGAGGATCGAGATGCCTTAGCGTCAAGGGTGCCGCGGTACCGTGGCAGATATCTGGATCAGGGTTCAGGGCTTACAGCCGCATAGCCTGCTTACCTAAACCCTGGCAGAAAGGACTGTTGTGTGGGCTGGAAACTGGCAGTTTTGTAGCTGCTGCAGATGCTCTGTTCAATAGCTTATCGTTCACTACGACGACGGCATCACTGGCTTCTTCGCCGATTCAGGTAAGTCCATCATGACCAACATGCAGGACGGAATCAAAGACCCGCCTGCCCATTGGTTGGAAAAGGGCGATGGTACTATGGTGACTATGGTTCTCGAGAAGGCCTGGTTCCGGAACGGACGACCGTCTGCAAGACGAACCTGCCTGTCTTGGGTCGTAAGCGTGTCGAGACCAAGCCAGATCTTCCCTTTCACGCAGAACGGTGGTGGACATTGGTCCTGGAGCAAGCTGAAGCTTCTGGAGTGTCACATTTTGGCGTCATGCAGCGCTTGTCCGCCGGTACCTGATCATGAAGTACCAGACACGGCCCCTTGGACTCCAGTTCCGGTGAAGACCGAGCCCGGCGTCTTTTCCTCTTTCGCGCGTGGGTCCAATGACGTCATCATTGAACTTGGATGCTGCTGACCGCTGGCCCTTCTCCCGTCCGACCCAACCGCCGCAGGATACAGGGCAAGCGGTCTGCAGACGAAGATGGCGATGACTTCCCTGCGGTGGGCCAGGCGGACGATGAGGACTGATGTAGAGGGCTGCGGGATCTGGCTTGGGCAGCACAAATTAAACTGTAGGTCGCAGTCTGCCGCTTATGTGGGTTGCACATCTTCGACTTGAGGTTTGGGGCATGAAAATCAACCAGGACAGTAGTTGGCTGCGACGCTTGGTCGGTCTTTTGCATTTCACATTTGACATCCTCGGCTGCTGACCACTGCGCTACTTGCAAGCTTGTTGTTCGTGCTCCAGCTTCTTCTTTGTGCTCTGCAAAAGCCAGAAGAGCAATGCCTTTTTACTTCAAAAGTGGGGAGTAGCTTCCGGACATTCAAATTCCAAGGAAAGCCATGCCCCATCTGCCAAAAGCAGTTGTCCACGGGTACATCTACCACGGAGTTCACCACGGCCACATGCCTCAGCAGCGAGCAGCTCTACTTGATCCGATCACAAAGAACTCGCTGCAAGTCTTGCAGGACAAGCCTGAGATGAAACTTCATGTGGCTTGGCGACCAGAAGATCAATTGTGTGTCTTTCGATCAGCGCAAGGCCTCCAGCATCTTCTTCGTTTCCCAAAAGACAGCATTCAGAATGGAATCGCTCCATCTATGTTACGTTCGTCTCCTTCATGTAAAAACCTCTCCTGGTCTAGAGGCTGCCGTGCGTCTTTTGGCATCTCGAGATCATCCGGTCTAGTTTTGGCAAGAGCATAGTCTTGGGGAACACCTCTTGCATTCATTGGAGGGATACGGGATATCCTAGAAAGCCACCGATGAGATCACTGAACATAACCTGGACTTCCCAGCACAGCACCGTGTAAAGTTCAGGAGTCGCGACGGTGAATTTGCTTTCTTACCTCCTTAACGTGTCGTCACTGCCGTCTCCGTCGATGTTCACTTTGGAGTCCATCCAGGGGTAGACCCAGAGAGGACTGGGCAACTCAAAGATAAACCCAGAAAAGCTTTGGATGAGTTCACAAGGTCGAGCGGGCACAAACCGAACCGCAGGCTGGCAGTTTGCCCTTGGCCCCACTTCTCAGGCCGTGCTCGGAGCGACCGAACATATTGTCAACGAGAGAGAACGGGAAAAACAACACCTGCTAGAAGCGTGCTGGCCATGCCCAACATCAAAGTGGACTTGCCGATTCATGATGATGCGTGCCACTTTTGAAGTAACTTTGAAGACTATGTAAAGAAGAACCAGGTGGATGGCTTCAACGATATCAAGTTCTTCATATAACTGATGAGTTTCACCGTCGTAACCGTACCTGTAAGAAAAGAAGCCTGACCAAGCGGGAAGTAGCTCGCAGTCAGGTGAGGACCAACATCTCCGAAATTTTCAATGCCTGGATTCGTCCTTTAAATCTCTTCCTCAATGGGCTATACGGCCGCATAGCCCTAAGTTTGGGTCCTCGAAGCATGCAAACTCTTCAACAATCATATTCGCAAACGCAAGCGATTTATGAATAGACGTACCGCAGCGAAAGCCGTGGAGCTGCCAAAAAGCCCGGTGCCTGCATGCGCAAGAGGCCGTCCTGTAGACGGGTACAAATGTCAAGACGCATGCTGGGCTGGCTATGGACTTTCGGGCTCCTGGTGAAAAGCACATTCTCCTGCTTGTGATGCTTGCGGTGCACGTGTCATGAGCAATATTGCTCTTTTTGCCCATACATCGGCCATGCGCGATGTCCTGGCATATCGGCTCCAGTGCACTATACAGGTAGCATTCAGGGCCCGACCGCCGTAGGCGCACTACCGTGTTGCCTGCATGAGGTCGGTCATCTTCGCGTAGCGGATGATGGGCGTGTCCTTTTGGAGCTCGGCGTGGGCTTGGTGCCGCGTCGACAGGCAGATATAGGCAGATGGTGCATCCGGTTGTTCCACTCGCGCACTGCTGAAACCGGTGACTGTCTTTGAGAAAGCCTGAGAAAGCTCTTGCTACTACAAAGCCACCGAGCCCCAATGATGTCATCCCGGAGATCCACAATGGCACTCGTGACGTCCGTGAGTCGAAGAGACAGTTGTCCTTGAGACGCTTGCAGATGCAGCTCTCCAGCATCCAATGTGGCCTCGGTCTCAAGGAGTGGTCGCAAGACGCGGACACGGCTTTTGCAGCGTGGCTTCTTCGTCCTCCTCACAAACAAGGCCGGTGCAGGTCCACTGGCTTTGGAAGATGTGGGCGGGGATGGCGAAGAGAACGAAGACGACACGTTTGTTGTAGCTGGTCTACGTGATCGCGTCCACGAGCCTATACTTCAAGATGAAGATGCCGCTCCACATGATCCAATCCAGGAGCCTGCGCCCAGCTCTCAACAAAAAGTCCAGTTCGTCCACCTCCTCGATATCTTCTTCATCAGAGGAGGCTCCTCCCCCCAATGTCGACTTCTCGGCTTGGCCTACTGAGTGGCATCATGCCTGGGTGCCTGGGTGTCCTGTGCATGGTTGGCCGGTAATCAAGATGCTCCGAAACGTAAGATCGGGAATGCGCACCTGCTTATGATTTAGAAGTCTAAGCAGATGTGGGACGAGGCTTAAGAACCAGGTCTCGTGAGATCACGAACGAAGTGTGCTTCACATGCACCATGTTAAGCAGTTGCAGAGCAAAGCCCCAAACATCTGCATCCTCCTTTTCGACGTATCGGCATGTTCCTGCGCAGACGAAGAAATGCAACGAGAAGGTATAATTAGAAAAAATTTTACTGACACACACGAGGGTTGAAAACACAGATTAAAACTTCATCCCACACGACAGTCCCCTCCCAACCTCAAACCCCTACACCCTAAAGGCTGCATGGATTCCGACTCGGAGGCCTTCTGTCGCTATAGTGCAGACATAGCATTGTGGGATTAGTTGTTCAGCTAGCCACTTACGAATTCAATAGCAAGACAAACGTTGTCCATACTATTAAGGGGGTATTCGTGTACTTTTACCACCTATAGCAGCCATATGTCGTAAATGAAAGAGTAGATGAAAGTGTTCCACGGCCTGCCCCAAAGAGTGTGCCTACCTGCTTCTGCAGAGACTACCTGGCGTAGAGAGCACTTTTTCTTCAGGTCACAAACAGTGTTTAATGTACCTCATGTCCGAGTGCCTGTCTTGGATTTAGGGTGTATAGGGCTTTCGGTGGGGCTATCCGACCTATTGCGCTCCCTAGAACCTGCTTACTAAGTCTCCTCATTCTTGAAGCAAAGGTCTGGGGGTTTGGGAGTCATGCAGTTTTCAAAGCGCTGAGTTGATTCCGTAACCCCAGAAGCCCCAAGAAGGTTTAGGGTTTAAGGTCACACCGCAAGCCCTTAGCACCCAATTTGATAGGGATTTTTGTCCGACGTCGTAGGCCGGAAGCACCCTGGAACCCAAAACCATAAACCCTAAACGTTAAATATCAAGTAAAAGATTTGCCGTAACGCACAGCCTCAAAAAAGAGCGCCACACAAGTCGGTCGCCGTCCACGCGTCCCCAAGCAACGATGAACGTCCTGCATCACTGAACATTCAAGAGAGTTTAGGGTTTGAGTTTGACGTTCAGGATTCGGGTTAGGAGTTAGGGGTTTAGATTCCGAAGGCAGGGGGGTCACTTGTGTCTTTTTTTTTGGGTTCACTTGTGTCTTTTTTTTTGGGGTCACTTGTGTCTTTTATTGGCTTCGGAAGCAACAGTCTCGAACGACAGGTGCCTTGGTAGGACCTGACCCCGAACAAAACCCTATTGAAACAAGGCCCTACCCCTAAGAGGGGTAAACCCAGAACGAAACCCTGATGAAAGAAGGCCCAACCCCTAAGAGGAGTAATCGGCCCAACCCCTAAGAGGAGTAAACCCAGAACGAAGCCAGAAAAAGAGTAAACCCAGAACGAAACCCTAATGAAAGAAGGCCCAACCACTAAGAGGAGTAAACGCAGCACGACACCGTAAAAAGAGTAAGCCCAGAGCGAAACCCTAATGAAAGAAGGCCCAACCCCGAAGAGGAGTAAACCCAGAACGAAACCCTAAAAGGAATAAACCCACAACGAAGCCTAACCCCTAAGAGGAGTAAACCCGGAACGAAAACCTAAAAGAGTAAACCCATAAAGAAACCCTAATGAAAGAAGGCCTAGCCCCTAAGAGGAGTAAACCCAGAAAGAAACCGTAAAAGGAGTAAACCCAGAACGAAACCCTAATGAAAGAAGGCCTAGCCCCTAAGAGGAGTAGACCCAGAACGAAACCCTAAAAGGAGTAAAACCAGAACGAAATCCTAATGAAAGAAGGCCCAACCCCTAAGACGAGTAAACCCAGAACGAAACCCTAAAGAGAGTAAACCCAGAACGAAACCCTAATGAAAGAAGGCCCAAGCCCTAAGAGGAGTAAACCCAGAACGAAACCCTAAAAGAGTAAACCCAGAACGAAACCCTAATGAAAGAAGGCGCAACTCCTAAGAGGAGTACTCGGCCCAGCCCCTAAGAGGAGTAAACCCAGAACGAAACCCTAAAAAGAGTAAACCCAGAACGAAACCCTAATGAAAGAAGGCCCAACCCCTTAGAGGAGTAAACCCAGAACGGAACCCTAAAGGAGTAAACCCACAACGAAACCCCAATGAAAGAAGGCCCAGCCCCTAAGAGGAGTAAACCCAGAACGAAACCCTAAAAGAGTAAACCCAGAAATGAAAGAAGGCCCAACCCCAAAGAGGAGTAAACCCAGAACGAAGCCTTAAAAGAGTAAACCCAGAACGAAACCCTAATGAAAGAAGGCCCAACTCCTAAGAGGAGTAATCGGCCCAACCCCTAAGAGGAGTAAACCCAGAACGAAACCCTAAAAAGAGTAAACCCAGAACGAAACCCTGATGAAAGAAGGCCCAACCCCTAAGAGGAGTAAACCCAGAACGAAACCTTTAAAGGAGTAAACCCAGAACGAAACCCTAATGAAAGAAGGCCTAGCCCCTAAGAGGAGTAAACCCAGAACGAAACCCTAAAAGGAGTAAACCCAGAAATGAAAGAAGGCCCAACCCCTAAGAGGACTAAACCCGGAACGAAACCCTAAAAGAGTAAACCCAGAACGAAACCCTAAT